TGGTAGAGGTTAACACAGTAAAGGAGTTTAAGCATGCGTGGGATAGGCATAAGGCTATCCTAACTATAAGATAAGGCTAGGGACTAAAGAAAGTATTTAGAAAATTGGGCAGACTAGATGGGCCGAATGGTTCTTATCTGCCGTCACATTCTATGTTTCTATGTTAATTTGATTGTTATTTATTGTTATTATTGTGGGATCATTGCCAGTTTCTGTGTTAATATGTTAATTAGATTGTTAGGAGGTGGGAGGGTCTGGGAGGGAGGGTCTGCTGCTGATTGGCTGGAATGTGTCTGCTGACTGTGAGGTACAGGGTCAAAGTTTACTCAATGATGACATAGGGGGCGGACCAAACAGCGCATATGTTCGCCGTCCGCTGTCGAACCGTTCGGGACATCACTATTGTGGGGTCATTGCCAGGGGTATGTTATGTATATGGTGGGATGTTGGCTTTAATAATATTTGTTGGCAATGACTCCATTTGTTATTCCTTAATTAATAATTAATAAAGCTTTGGACTAATATTTCCAACAGTATAACCTGTGTCCGTGTCTTACTGGGGTTCGGGTTAAGGTTAGTGCATATGCCGCTAAATCAGACTGTGCGCCTGTCATGTAGCCCATCGATCAGCGCAGCTATGGTAGTGGGCCTTGACAGTGCCAGGAGGTAGGCATAGCAGCCAAGAGAAGTTGAGTGACAGCTAGCAAGCTGGGTGGGGCAGAGCTACGATGGGAATATTTATACTGGCCATTTTGTGAAGTAGGCATCTTAACTTAACCTAAACTTACCTGTCAGTTTTCCCTCCCACCCTCCCTGACTTTGGTTAGGTTATAAAATGTTCCAGTTTTTTCATAGCGGCAGGGAATGGCCAGGTTAAATCAGGGGGTAAATGGAGGAGGAAGTTGGCATCTGGAGGTTTAGTGTGGATTAGACAGTGTCACACTTGGTTGGTAGGTTCAAGCCCGGTGGTAGCTCCGAACTTGGGGGTGTAGCGGTGTCTTGGTACACCCCTACAATTGAATTTGTGGGTGTAGCGGGGTCTTGGTACACCCCTACAATTTAATCTGGTAGAAATGTGGTCATATTGGACATCCAGTTTCTGTGTTATGTAAATTAGATTGTTATTTATTGTTATTATTGTGGGGTCATTGCCAGGGGTATGTTTTGTATATGGTGGGATGTTGGCTTTAATAATATTTGCTGGCAATGACCCTATTTGTTATTCCTTAATTAATTAGTAATTAATAAAGCTGTGGACTAATATTTCCAACAGTATAACCTGTGTCCGTGTCTTAATGGGGTTCGGGGTAAAGTTAGCGCATATGCGGGTAAATCCGACACTGTCATGTTAATTATGTGCAATTCCTGTTTGCTAAATTCACAAAAGGGTAAATTGCATTTTATATTGTTGTATAAGATAACTGAAGTAAAAAAATCTGATAATTTACATTTGTCTGTCTGGTCTAAACTTTAAATCCACTTAGAATTACCGACATTTTCATAACTCTGTATGTTATTGTAAAAAGACACATTCTTTAATACTCAACGTTTTAATTATGGTTCCATGCTTTGAAATGTTCAGCTTATTTTTTGTCTCAGTCCAGCTGTGATAGAGGCTACTCTCCTGAGAGGAAACGGCCATTTTCAGCTGTCACCATTAACTCAGTCCTCTCCGAATAGGGAAACGTGTGTAGGGAGAGGAACTGCAAAGATTGAAACAGCCCAGTTCTGTCTCTTCGGCGTCTATGCTGACATATTATTGTCCGAACAGGGACTGGATTAATGGCGGCTGCTGCCTGTGAGGGTAACACCCCCAAATCTCAGGCCATTCTAAGATTAAACTGTATCGCAAGTTGTAACCCATTAGTATGAGCTAAGTGAGAATATGGTTGTATTCATGTGTGCAGTGACCATTTGAGTATTTGATTGCATTTGTATGCTAGTGTAAGAACATTTCTGCACCAAAGCAGAGATGCATTATTGTATATATGTATTGGAGATTTCTTTTTGGACTTATATGTGATTTATTTATTATCCATTTATTTCCTATTTTTCTATTTCTCTACTTTCACCTTCTTCATTTTCATGTTTATGCTTTTATGTTATTTTGATACTTTTACTAGGTCTATTTAGCTCATGGACTCTTTCATTATAGTAGTATAGTGGTATTATTTTATTTTGTATAAATGGATGCTTGTAAATGTCCACCCTCAGTTTGAGTTCATGGTTGTGTTTGTGTAACTGGGATTCTATTTTATGTGCTACAGTGGCACAAACCCATATCTTGTCTTAAAGGGAACACTAAATAAAAATTAATTTCCTACAATCACAGTGAAACTGATAGACAGCAGCCAGGTGATTTAAGTAACAGGTAATTGAAATGACACTCAAGTGAAGTAAGTGGCATTCACGTAGGACTCAGCACCTTTATATGAAATTGCAATTACAACCATATAAAACATATCTTGATGACATTAGCTTTGCCACACTCACCATATGTCCCAGCAAATATGTACTATTCTCAGTTGCCTGGTTTTCATAGATTGTTTTTTCCTGAAACATCTAGTCATTGGTCTCCTTAAAAGAATCCTTTGATAGTTGGAGAGATCCTGTTATGTACCCTATAGTTCTATAGCTGTATCCCAGTGTGTTTCACTTGACTCCCAAACAGCATTAAGAGCAGGACCCCAATGGCTAGTAGGCCCATTGGAGGAACGTTTAACATGTTTGAGAAAGATTTTTTTTTTTTGATTAAATTTTAGTTGCCTATCACCAACAACGATAGATTTTTTTGATGTTAACTTATATATATATATATATATATGTGTGTGTATATATATATATATATATATGTGTGTGTGTATATATATATATATATATATATATATATATATATATATATATATATAAAATACAAAATTGCTTGCACTCCTGGAATAGGTAAATAATGTGCTTGGTGCTGGTCAGGCAAATAGCATAGAAAAACAGAGAATGACCGCACTCAGGGACTTGTAAATATCACTAAAACTTAACTTTTAATGTTCAAAATAAATCAAATCAACGTTTCAGCCCCATATTTGGGCTTTCTCAGGATGGTTTTTAGCTTGGATCTGAGCGCTCACTATATCCGAACAGCGCTCAGATTACACAAACACCGTTAAATTACCATGGGGTTAAACAAGTTCCAACTGGTCTGGCAGTGTCCCTGGGACAACGCCCTGATGGAGAACAATAGACAGGAAACGGGGGAGGGGCACACCTTTTCATGTTACCAAAGGGGCAGAAAAAGTGTTTCAAAATCCAATAAGCCCAAATAATGTCTTTAAAGGGCAATACATCCCAGGGGCCATAGTCACATGGCAGGAGGCTGGCAATTAGTATTCTCCAATGCCCAGTGGCGAGGTTGGTTTCGTTATTTCGTTACAACCGTTATTTGGCGAGTGTTTAATAGAATTTGAAATGCATGTTGAGGAGACAGAAAACTGAACCAAAGTAGTCAAGTAATGACATGGTTGATCAACTAGTCATGGTTAGCATATGAGTCCAAAATAGTTGCTTGTAAAAAGTGGGTGACCTATGTTGGATCTCATTGAAGAGGTGCAGGTCTTGGAGGAGGTGATGCAGGTCCCAGTGAATTAAGTGGTGTACCAAGTAATCCTTAGATGGCTACTAACTTGAAATTTTGAGTTACCTCGTAGAATAATAAAGGAGTGTGAGGTGTGAGATGCTTCAATGATACTTTATGTCCATAGACCTGAGAATTAAGGTAAAAGGATCGAAATACTTTTTCTACACCAGAGAGGCCTGCCTTAAATGCAAGATCCAAACCCTCAAATATTTCTGATTTAAATGCAGTATTTTACTGTCTATTCTGAAACTCCACTATTAAGTTGTTTGAGGCAGTAGGGGAGACTTATGTGTTCCCTATTAAGGGTTAATAAGCATGTAGGGATGTATATAAAAAATACCCCTTTCTGTTTCATTAGAGATTTTTTTTGCCAGAAGCTCAAGGAAGCAAGGCGAATGGTTAGAGTTAGGACCTACCTAAGAGGTCTGCCTTGACGTGGCAGGTGGGCATACCCTCTCATGGCCATTGGAGGTAACTAAAACCTTAATTTGTTTAAAAATACATAGGGATGTGGAAAGAGCGCAGGTAACTTTTTTTCTTTGTATTTTACTCTATGTATTTTGGCTGATGTGTACTATGATCATTGCTGCCGCCCGGGAGTGATGGGAGTTTGAGCGCAGGACTAGTTTCTTTGTATTAGTAGGGGAGACTTAGAGTATTCTGCCTGAACAAGACAGCTATCAAGTTGTATTGCTTTTGCTTGTTTTGATAGTAATGCAATAAAAAATCTACAAAAAATAAGGTAGTTCAGCTTGAGTAACATCATCAGAGAGATCATGAATCTTAAGAGAATTTTGCCTCCTTTGATTTTCCAGAGCAACAAAAAATAGATCTAACACCCTCGGGGGCCCAATGCATGTTTAGGACCAACTTTCCGAGTCAGTTGGTTCTCACACCCAGCAGGTCTGTGCTCTCTTCCACATCTTTTATCCAATAACCCTGTAACGTTCTCCCTCAACTGTTTACCGTCATCTACAATATATATATATATTTTTTCAATCTTTCTTTTATTGAGGCAATAAAGGTACGTTACAGAAGAGAAAGGAGTGTTAGAAAATAAGCACATGACATATGAATGCAATGGTACACCAACTCCAGAGTATGACAGCCTCATTAAAAAAAAAAAAAAAAATAAGTAAAGATCACGGTACAAACTCAGGTTCATTATTCTACAGGTATAAGAATTTTATGTAAGCAGTAGTAAGCTATCTAGGCAAGATTAATGATTGTGAGAATGTTGTTTGCAGACTAAACAGTTAGTAAAAAGCATGTTAGGTACACATGCCATAATCCGATTGGTTAGGTAGGTATATTCATCATGAGGGACTGCTGAATAAAGTGGGTTTGGAGAGTTAGTATGCAGGATTCAACTGGCTAAGTTACACAGTGACATTGATGTGCAAAAGGTGTGCAGCAATTCCAGTTTAACAATCAGGTAATGCAAGCTATTGAGACAAAACACTCCACTGAGCTACTGCACTGCTAAAATCAACATGTTTAATACCGCCTGTATAGTACTGAGCTACGCACATCCTAAATGTATGCAGTGTAGCTACATTATGCTGAGTAGAGCATTAGACAGTACCCCATTTATAATCGACCAGCAGACTTGATGAATAACAGCATACGGTCAACATGTGGAGCAAGAGTTAATATAAGCCACTGGAGTCTCGGAGGGGTGAGTTCATGCTACCCTATGGGATCAGCTTCATGAGACCGCTGGTGTAGACACAGGGGTATACACGCTGGATCATCAGGTCTCGGCTTCCCATTGAAGTGTAATAGCCGCAGGGTCCCAACATAACAGGTAGTCTAATAAGCGCCATTCTGCCAACCCTAGGCTCTGCTTAAGCCTGCCAACTGTACCCACGGTTCCGGCTCCACTAGGGGCCAGCAACGGAGATCCTGGCTTGGATGTTCTTTCCAGGAGTGCAGTTGTAGTTGGAGGGTTGTCCTCGGGGGGCTCAAATCCAAGGAAGGCAGTTGTGGGGACCAGTCCCATTCACTGGGCCTGGAGCATTGGACAGCCGAAATGCCATTGCCATTCACTGGTAAGACAGGTCCAGGGGTGAGAGCTGCGGTCATCACATGTCTTGGTTTGTAGGGATATCAGCATTCAGTCAGCAGAGCTTTGCCCAGGGTAAGCCACGTGGACGCCATTTTGTGGATCAAGCACGGGAACCCATTGGCTTGGTTTGTTCAGCTGTGGTGGTCTGTGTGGCATCTGTTCTCTCCAGTGGGGACCGGGATAACACCCACCTCATCTACAATATTTGTACTTACATCCATAAGGAGATCTTTATTAATGTTGTAGTGACAGATGGGGAGTCACCTTTGATGGAGCCTGTGCTTTTAATCCCCTGGAACTCCTCATTACCATTCAGTGAAAACTCCACTGAGGGAGTAGAATTGCTTTCTGTATGAGTTGCCATTTTGGGCCTAGTTTCCCATTGTCGTAATAGATTATCTACATCCATGAAATTTGCAGGTCCAGTGTGGCTTATAAAAGTAAGGGTATCAAAGTATGTATCCAACAAAAATTAATTTATATCAAAATCAGTCTTGAAGCTAAAGTAGTGTGCGACCATCCACTGTAGTTAACCAACTTTGTAAATAGAATATAGGTAAGTTCTTAATTAAACAGAATTGTTACCTAAGTCCCTAAACATAACCTAACAATGTATACCATTTGATGACTTAATTCTTACTATTTTAAATTCTCTAATTCATTTTGATGTGTACATTTTTGTATTAGTGGGTTGGCCCAAGCTCATTTGGATTTCCTGTTACCTGGAAGATATTCACTATAGTTAACAATTGTTTAACCTTGTTGAGGGTTTCACCATATTAATTGTATTCCACAGATTATTTTAAGACTCAGATTTTTTTCTGAATTTTCTCAATTATACCAGGCACTCTCAATTTGGGGCTCCTCTCTTGTTGATGTGGGTTTGATTGTTGGGGCATTTGAGGGCTAATGTCAATACTGGAGTACTTCAGAAATTCTAAGTGCATTATCCACCCCTCCATAGAGTTTGTTTTCTTAGCACTGCTAAACTTGTTATATAGTTGGCTTAGATGCCAGGCTGACACTCCTTTTGGGCTGAGACTGCCCCTTTTCCTGTGATATCATCAATGTTATAAACAGCATTACTGGCAGCTCCCCTTTTAAACCTACTAACCTCCCAACATTTATACCTCCCAATTTCAGAAGGTATGGAATTTAAAATATATAGGGTTTTATTCCCTAAATCTAGCAGAGCCTAGAGATTTAACAAGGCAATTATAAATTATAGTACATTTCAGAATGCATGAGATGATATGAGGGAGTAGTGCCATTAGGAAATTCTCAGACACTGATAAATATGTAAAACAAGAGGAAAAGGACAACAATACATAGTGTAGTATTTTTGGTATGCATTGGTGAAAAAAAATAAAGAATAAATATACTGCACTGGATTATTTTACATACACCTCAGAACACTTACTACTGGATTAAAAGACATACCAGATATTCCCAGGTGGGGATTGTACTGCCAAAGCGCTAATTTAAGCTCTACACACTGTAACTGCATTTCTTCTTTATTTTTTTTTACCTAATCACAAATGTATTCTTCCTCTTGTTAAACATATTTATTAATGCTTAAAGGCATTGCTCTCTCCTTTCATCTCACACTTATTTAACTGGACCGGAACAGCAAGACTCTGCTTTGGCTTGATTGAGCTGCCTCCTATATACAACTGTATGTACAAGAAACATGCCATCCTTATAGTTCACAATACATACTATACATAAACGTAGTCTATTATGAACTGTCCAAAAGCTTGCGGTCTCCAGACTCATGACACATTATATTCCTATATATTTATATATATATATATATATATAGTTAATCAACTTCATACGCATATGTGTGTGTGTGTGTGTATATATATATATATATATATATATGTGTATTAATATATATTTCTTTATTTGCTGTTTCTCTATTAAATACATTCAAGTATATTGTGATTGGGATCTGAAGTGCTCCACTGTCCAACCTCCATCAGCAGTAATATATTCAATGAGTCACTTACTTGAATATTGCCTCCTTTGTGCAGATAAATCAGTAAAAATAACATTTCATTTCTTCATTTAGTAGCAATTTGACGAGTACATTGCAGAGATGACATGCCAAACTATGTACAGTATATTAGCAGTTGAAATGCACTTTAACAGCACACATTCTTACAACATGCATGAAGATGTCAAAACAGCAAGAGGCTTCACACTTGATATTTAAAGAAGAATGGAGATGGTTGCAAGGTCAGTCAACAAGGGCAAATTATGCTGCCAAGGGCATGAAAACCTGAAAGGGTTATGGTGGAAATAAGTGCATTTAGGAAAGAGCTCCAGAATTACAGCCTGCCCATGATACCTTGGCCAATAACACATATATTCTTCATTTCAGGTAATAAGGAATACATTGCATTATCAGCACCTTCTGATGATCCACATTATTATCTGGGGAACAAAGGTTTGTTCCCCAAGGCAAAATTCAATAATATATGAATCTCAGGAGTTGTGCAGTAAAGAACATTTTTTTTTTTTTTAAATACACATACATTCATATGCTCATACACATTCTATATAGGTGTTGGTATATGTAGGAAAACATGGAGACAGAATGACTAAATTAAATGAGCATTAAAAGGACACAATTGAAATTATGAAAGAGTGTATGTAGCAATCAGCACACACTGCAAAACATGTAAAAGTGGTGTGTTAGTCATGTAATACAGTCAAATTTATACTTAGCCTATCATTGTGTCAAACACCTGTGGTTCTGTTGCATCCTCTGGTGATCTGAGTAGGTGTTATTTGACTGTTCTCAAGCTTGTTTGGCAGAGGGTATCCTGATCTGCTTATATATTGTGAATATTTGGTAATGTAACACCCTAATAATATATGCTTGTTCAGGTTAATACTTGCCTTTCTGTATTTTGTTTTGCATAAATTTACTTTTATATGTATTTGCCTGTAGATTCATCTCTATTTTAAGCAATGGAATTGCTGTATTCACACTTTGGGAGTTTTTTTTTCACTAAACTGTGTATTGTAGTGCATTGAAATCCAAATGTTGGATTTTAGGCTAAATAGACAAACACAGCTATAGCTTTGCTGCTTTAAGTTAAATTTTGTCATTCGAATTTCAGCTTTGCTGTAATTTGAATTTTGGTGAATAAATTCCTTACATTAATTGAGATAGATGTGGACTGGATAGTTTATAGCATGCTAACTGCATTTTGATCATACTATATGCCTAAATATCCATTTTATAAGAAATAAGATTAAAACTGTGTTAGATTGTGGATGCTGGAAAAGGAAGCCAGCTGTGCAGCATCTCAGAGTCAGAGGTCATCTCAGCCTTTTATCCTTTCTGAAGGCAATACAAAGAGCACCGTTAAATTGACTAATAATAACATCTAGACCCCGGGGTCTACTTGGAGCCTTTTCCTGGTTAAATACTTTGATATTATTATATTTATATCTTTCTTCATAAGAGTTCTAATTCACCCATATTTCTGTACAAGTTTTAGAAGCACCAATTTATTTAGATAATTGTTGTGTGTACTTGCATTTAAGCATTTTGTATTGTCACAATGTCAATCCAGCATGCATACTCTCTTTTCAGTTTCAACATCAATTATTTAATGTACTTCAAGTTCACTGACTTTAATATCCCTGCCTCTTAGTACTTAGTAATTAGTACAAAAATGACATGATCTTAGAATTATATATATCCAAGTATTCAATTGGCTTATTGTAGGTATCTCTCCATGACAACACCTGCCCCTTACATTTTATCATCCCACCCGAATACTTAATTTCTTCTCTATAGAATTCCTTCCTTCTTCCATCACTTCATTTTAGGCCACTTCCTTTCTACATTCTTCCATTCTTCTATCATAAGCCCCTTGAGTCTCATTATGTCTAACACAAGCAATCTTCTTCATTGGATGTGTCTCTACTAATACTGCCTCTTATCATTTAAGTTCCAGATCATTTTGCCATAGGATCATTGCACATTCAAGCATCCCCAATACCCACTTGTTTTCCTAAAAATCACTTTAATTCCAATCCCTCTCCTATAATAACCCTTACAAACACTATTTAGTGGAGGACCCCCATGACCATCGGTAAGTACCATGTCTTCAATTTAGGACTCTCTGCATCTCTGCAGCCTTCTTTCTAGAACCGCCAGCACACTCCCAGCACACTACAGCTACGATGTACTGTGTTGAGAACATTAGTGATGTGTGATGTTAGCAGACCAACAAACCCTCAGGGATTACATGATCATGCCATGTGAATTATAGACATACCTTTTCAATTGAGCCATACTTTTAATCATTGAACCTCATACATACTATTTGTTTTGTGCTACTATCTGCCGACTTTATGCATTGTGTTGGACAAATATTGGTCCATTATTGTCAAATACTGCCACCAAATGTCAATGAGAGAGAGCTTTTCATCTGAGCAGTTATGAGATATACCTTTTGAATCACTTCAACATTCCTTTGCCTTGCTTCTGCTTTCATCATTGTCCAGCTGATGGATTAGGAAAGGTGACTATCCTACCAATCTTCAGTTTTTTGGGTAACTGAAAATGTGTTCTCTTGCAGCATTTTCCTAAATGTTTGTTAATCCATTCTTTCAACTTTCACAAAAATCTTATAAGATGCTAAGTAATGAGATATATTCCCAAGAAGAAGCATGATGATGCCTCCACCATACTTCACTATTGGACTGGTGTATCTTAAAGCATTAATAATGATAGTGCTGTATCATACACAAGAGTTTGAATTTTGATGAAATACTTATTGGCCTCATATAAACATAAAACCTTTTCCTCACATGGGTGCCAGTGTTCATTTCTGTTTTATGGCCACCTTCCCATAGAGGTAGTTTTTTATAAAAAGTTCTTTATACACTTGATTGAACCATTACTGCACATATAGCAATTGAAGTCTTTCAAACTTTTATGGTAATATTGGCATTTCTGAATGGTCTCTTCTAAATTTACTTCTTGACTAAGCACAGAGCAATAGACATTTGCAGGGTAGTAGAAACACTTAATTTTAAATTGTATCCTTTACCAAGTCTATCCGTATATGTATTACTATATCTTTCACATCTATTTTGGTCTTTATTTTCCTTTAGCTCCACAATACGGCCAATACGTCTTCAGCAAAGATAGTTGTATACTGTATACTTTCATCTGTGTAAACTGGGTTTTTCCACAGCCCAGGCATTGAATATATATGCAAGCCGCATGTCTTCATTTTTCCCTTACGTTTTTCCCAAACAAATATTGAGTGTTTTAATAATATAATTGAATTAGATGGAAGTTTTAAAACAAGATAGCATTATTAACAGAGAAATGCCATAAATGCAGTGGGAGGGATTATTTTAGAAGAGTAAGCATTTACCCTGCTTACTGTAATTCCATTATATATATATATATATATCTATGGCATATATATATTTGCACAATTATTTCATGATCAGTGTTCTAATGATCCTTAGGAAGTAAAGCATATATAGCAGAGATTAATAATTAAGAGTTACTCACTTTAATCAAAAGAGGTTAATGCATTTATGTATCATTATTTAGGATTGATAGTACCACTTTGTGGTCTATAACCACGTGTTCCTCATGTAACTATTTTATAGAAGCTTATGATTGTTAATGTGTATAATTAGTGAATAATATGCAGTAACTTGTTAATGTACAGTAGGAGTGTTTACAAATTACCTTGTGTCAGTCAAATAATTTACGCACACTCACCATTTAAGATTAGATTAATCACATCACAAGGGACTGAAGCTTGGAGTTTTATGACCTTTTTTTTCTCTTAATCTATACATCTACAATCAATTATGTAAACAAAATGTGTGTGCATATTTTATATGTTGCGCATCTGCCCCAAGCAACTTTTTAAAAACACAGACGATAACAATAATCAATAAATAAAATACAATCAAAGGACTTACATCTAACATGAAAAGTGAGCCTAGTGCAAGCATCCATAATGCATATTTACTGGCCTTAGAATTATTTTTAACAGTATTCTTTTAAATCCTTTACGCCACACACTTGACTTACTATTAAGTGAATTTTTATTTTTCAATAGCTCCACACTATTACTCTGTATTAACTTTTCCACTGTTATATTTCGTCAGTTATCCAACACAGATCACATCGAACACAAATGAGGTCTAAATTTTGAGTCACAGCGGACCACAGCTCCACATAAAAGACAAAATCTTCAAAGTTGTCTTGACCTGCCAGGAAAAGAGACAAAGATAAACAGCACAGCAAACATGTACCTGCAAAGCACTGCTTGCTTATTAAATATTAACGGCTCCATTTACATTTAAATAAACAGAGAGGCTGCAGATGGAATTTCCACTGCTGCCTTTTGGCATTGCTGTCAGGGAAAGAAGCTGAAAAATCATGCGTCTAGAATGGACAATGAAGTAATCTCAATCTCCGCTCTACGGTGACCTGAAGATGATCCCTCATCAGTCTGGAAAAATGATTGTAACACGACATTCTTTTTCACAATCTGTTTTCTTTCCATGTCTTCTTTTGTAAACACATATGGACATAAATAAATTAAGTCTTCCTGTCAATCACATTCTTAAATTGAAGCTGAAGTAGAAAAGGACGGATGGATGGCTGATGAATGAATGATGTACAGCACTGAGGAGATGGAATTGTGATCTTTTTATTCTTAAATATATTCATATATTTATTCTTTTTCTTGGTTAGGTTATTTCCATCCCCCTTCCTTGAAGTCTGTCTATAGTAAGCATTCTTGCGTCAGCCATCAGACACAGGTGGGGTGACCCAGCCATACTTCTCGTGAGTCTTCACTAAACTCTTAAATGTCGCTTCTGCCTCCTTGCGGCTAAAGGCCTTTTTGGACTTGCCTGCTTTCCTGCAGATACGTCCCTGTGAGAAGATTTAGGAAAGAAATAGAAAGAGTTACCATCACATATATAATTAACAATGTTAAATCCACCATGATGCCAGGACACATAACACTTTTATAAATTGATCAGCGATATATGGAAAGTTCCCCCATGCAGTATGTGGAAGGTGAATGTAGAACATGGTAAATCAGATGATAGGTCAATCAAATTTCCTACAGCATATAAAGTCTACATACTACAGGGCTGCATTTTGATGTGCTTCCAGTTAACATGATATAAGTATCTGTGTCCAGGAAAGCATGGTGAATTTAGCAACCTGTATATAATAAAAAATGCAAAAGACTTAGTATTAAAATATACATGTATTTACTGCTTCCATTATCAGTGTAACTACACAAATTAATGCATCTTACTGTAACCTGTACAATGACTACTTCTATGCAATTAAATGCACATATAACAATATGTAGTTTTATATATATATATATAACAACACAGAATGAAACAAAATGCAAACGTGGTTAATACGTCAGGTTTACTGATGCACTAAGCTAAAATATCACATTTTCTGACTTAAATCTGTAGGTGTTTTTTTTTTAAGGGATAATTACACTATTGAATGAAACATTGAAAATCACCTATAACTGGTATATCGTATCAATATGAAGCTCTGCTTTCTTTTAAAATGCATATTAAAGCATTTGAAATATAATTTGCAAGTGACATCACGATCCAGTTCAGTTCAAGCCCAGCCAGTGCACAGAATGCAAATGAGGAAGAGAGCAGAAATAATGTTTCATGTTTCCTCTTCTACTAACTTAATTCAGTGGCAGAAAAAAAGTCAATTATAATTGACAGGGAGCCAAGATGGAGGTACCCAGTTCCAGGATAGATGTGAAGATTTTTACATTTAGTTTTATTTTGCAAAACTCGCAAAAACACATTTGCTAAAAATATGGGATAAGCAAACAGATTGTTAAAAATCCTAGGAAACAACACTTACCCTTTAACTATGCATTATACTGCAATATAATTACCAAGTGCTCATGCATCTTCTCCTGTAATCATAGCTTTGCATTTGCTTTATCAATATCATCCATCATCTCATCCTATTTCCACTTCTTATTTCACAAAGTATAACTTGGACTCAATATTATCATATCTTCCTTCCTCTGCTGTCATTAACTAAGCCATCTCACCTCCGGGGCATTAACCATAGCCCAATGCTTATATAATTATTTTTAACATTTTCATTACAGACAAAGGCATAAAAAAATCTATGTCTCTGGTGAGGTAACACAGATTTGTTTCAGTCCGAACTGCAATTAATATGAATTTAAGCCACTGATTAGTTGAAATCCAGAACCCTGAGACAAAATGTACCTGAATCATGAACCAAATGAGCCGCTCAATACCCAAACGTGTTTTGATTTGTTGTTCTGAATTCCGCTCATGGTACCAAAAAAAACCAAGAGATGATTTATGGGGAAAAAGATGATTGTTGGCCGCGGACAGATAATAAATGTTCAAATCAAGTGAGAAGAGACCAATAGAATGGAAAAATAGAGTAGAAAAAATATCTATATATTGTATATGTATAAAAATAAATACATAATATTATAGCATGTTTTTATCTAACGGTACACTGATAAGCCAATTGTCTCACCCTTTTGATTTGTCTGATTTATTTTAGAATTGGGTTTTCAGTATCACAATTTTCCTGAGCCAAACTGACATGTAGACTTAATTTGTGCGTCCCCTCAAAAAATTATATTTACAGGAAACCAAATGTTCTCAACAATGCACAAGTCTACTTGTATTCACTTTCCCGTAGCAAGTCATGGTTTGTACGGGAGTGTGATTTACAAGGACACATTATGCATATCCAAGGTTAAGACTTTATATATGTGACCTTTAAAAGCCTTGTGGGAATTTATCTATTAAGAATAGGCCATTAAGAATAGGACTTTTACAAACAATGTTTACTGTAGTAGAAGTTGAATGGAACTTGCAGAAGTCTTTCTAGGAGAGTTTTCACAAAGTCATCATTCTCATTGTCAATGCAAAGTAAGATACTTATACTGACAGGAAAGATGCTTTAACCCCTTGACGACCTATGACGGTTCAGGACCGTCATCGGAAAAATCCCCTTGGGGACCGATGACGGTCCTGAACCGTCATAATGGTCTGAGGATACTTACCTGATCGCCGTCGGTCCCCCGGCGGTGATCAGCGCTCTTCCCGGTCCAGGGGGACTGCCTGTCTGCCCGGGCAGTTTCCCCTCGGCAGATCAGGACCCCGCGGCCACGTGATCACTTGATCACATGACCGCAATAGGTGCCTGTGTATCTGCCTGCAGGGGGACTGTCTGTGCTGACACGCAGTCTCCCTGCAAGTGAAAAATAAAAAATAAAGTTAAAGAATAAAGCAATCAGTGTAAAAAATAATATGTATATATGTATATGTATATATATATATATGTATATATATATAATATATATACATGTATTATATCTATATATAATACATGTATATATATCATATATATAATGTCATACTAAGTGTATTTTTATATTTATATATACGTATACTAATATAAAAATACACTTTTAATTTAAATTACACACGTATATATTACGTATTATATATTATATATTATAAATAATATGTTAATAAAAATAAATAACAAAAAGTAAAAAT